GTTTTTGCCGTCTTCTCTTTTTCTAACAAAAAAAATTTACGTGAGGTCAAATCATTCCTTTCTTTGCCCGACATCCAAACATAAAAAAGATTCAATGAGTGCTTCGTTCAGCAGTAGTGAATGCTTCTAAAAATAGGTACAACCATGATGCCAAGCCTGCGCCGACAATTCACGCCCAGGAAAACCGAGAAACAGTCGAGAACAAAGCCTACCTTGATCATTACCATGCCTGAGATAGTGACGACTCGGGCAGAGGCTTGCTCTCTCAAGCTCGGTGAATTGAACGGCCGTACGCCATGTCACTGGTCGGACACAACTCGGCAATCTCTCGCGCCGGATGACGCGAACAGGCCCGAGACCTCTTTCGGTGGCTGCTCGCGCAGTTCAGACTTGCGCACATCAGTTCTTCTAACTCTACATCGAGAAGAAAACCGCTTTGACGAGAAAAACCAAATGCCTTCAGTCGTAAGCACGCGCAATGTCGGCATATTCTCGTGGTAAGCATAGGATCAAGTCGGTGCATCTTGACCAGCATCATGCATCATGAATTACCTTATAAACTACGTTGCGCATGGGATGAGTGAGAGAGTTTTGCATAGTATCAAAGGATATCAACTAAATCACCTCACACGACATTGATAGAACTACCATTGGTTCAACATCCTTAGCGACTGTACCTTTTTTGTGAAGCAATCACCTTCACAATGGCGGCACTACCAAATCTCTGGATCCCACAATCAACCGCAACTGTCAACGTATCAATCATCAACAGCAGCGGATCCATCAGAGGCATTCCATTCTCTAGTTTCTACGAGCCTCCAATCGAAGGGCACGAGTGGCTGGCTGCACCATGCACCTCATTCTTCATTGAACATGACAACCGCTCGCTCGTCTTCGACCTTGGCATCAGAAAAGACTGGCAGAATCTCCCAGAGGCATACTTAGACAGCCTCCGGGACAGCAACATTACCGTCAGCGTGCCTACCGATGTCCGTGAGATTCTTGACAAGGGCGGCGTGGACAGCAGTACCATAGAAGCAGTCATCTGGTCCCATGCCCACGTTGATCACGTAGGCGACCCGTCAACCTTTGACAATAATACAGCGCTCATTGTAGGGCCCGGAGTCCAAGATGCCTTCTTCCCCGGATATCCAGCCAACCCAAACGCCGCATTCCTCGAGTCTGATGTAGCGGACCGCGAGATCAAGGAACTCAAATTCAAATCTAAGTGCGGCGGCTTGAAGATTGGCCACTTCGAGGCAATTGACTTCTTCGGCGACGGCTCCCTCTACCTGCTCAACTCACCAGGACATGCCATCGGGCACATCTCTGCCCTCGCTCGCGTGACAAGCAACCCAGATAGCTTCATTCTCATGGGAGGCGATACGGTGCACCAAGCCGGCGTCTTGCGACCGCACAAGTGGCACCCCCTCCCGGAAGCCGTCTCACCAAATCCATTCACGGGGAGGTCTGCTCCCGCATGCCCCGGCGACCTGTTCGAAGGGCTGCTTCGCAACGGCAGGGACAGCCCGTTCTACGCTCCCTCTAGCACGAGCCAGATGAACTATAACACGACGGAGATGATTGAGTCGATTCACAAGCTGCAGGAGACGGATGCGCACGACAACATCTTTGTCGTCCCGGCCCACGACGAGTATATCCTCAGGGTCGTGGATCTGTTCCCAGCCAAAGCGAATGACTTTATGGAGAAGGGATGGGTGCACCAGACTCGATGGGCCTTTCTCCGAGATTTCGCCAAGGCTGTCAATTACACTGGTGAGCTCTACCCAAAGCAGTCCTGGGATCCGGTGGGGAACCAGACGAGATCATAGATGAGGAGGTGAGGATGGTGTTGGTGCAGTGACGCCCATGGATCTTTTGCGGTTGGATGGGCACTCCTATGTATGAATTTAGCAAGCTTGCGGTGTTGGCGAATGATCTAATTGTAGGTAGACGGCGGAGAAGCTGGGTCATTGTTGGTCTTACTCTCACCAAAGATCCAAGAGGCGACATGCGATATTATCTTCCCCTATTCCAAGTCTACTACTCGTACGTGAATGTTGGCCCTTGGTCACTTTTGCTCCTGGGTCAGTCCCTGAACCGTGGCCGTGCTCTGGCACTAAACGAGAGGAACGGCAACTGAATGTCTGCTCCGGGAAGGAGTTCATTCCCCTCAGTCCGAGACCGCCGATTGCCAGCACCAAGGGGCGATGTAATAGGGCCGTCATGATCCTGGGATATTATGTAAGTGCTGGGGACGAAAGAGGAAGACGTAAGATTGGTTACTGTCGCGACGTCGATCATGACAACTGTTCTGAAGGAGCTGGTTACCCTAAATCATATGTTGATTGTTGTTGTTGGACATGATATCTATTAAATGACCGGGGAAAAGTCCAACATATGGCCGTTGAGAAGAAGGCGGATATATTATCAGATTGATTGAATACTTGGTAGACATACAAAATACAATGATTGTTCTGTTGATTCTAGAAGAAACTTACTCTAGCGATAACACAACCAACAAACAAGCCATCAAACTTCTGCATGCAACGTCGATCATTATTTTCATTAATTCAGAAGCGGAAGACTATTCATTCTTGCCACCACCTGTCTACTCAGATGACATCAATTTTGGAGAACACTGTCGGTCAGCAGCCGTGGATGCGGGGAGGCAAGAGGCAGTGCGTGCGCGAATAGCATCAAGCGGAGGGAATCCCTTCTGTTGGTGGAAGACTGGAAGCGATCACGGCAGCAGCCTGTTTCACCTCGCAAAAGGATGGACCAACGTGGCTCACGCAGCGCTCTCGGCACCCGCTGCTGCTTGGAGGCAGTGCCAAGGCACAGAGTAATCAAGGTCGATTACGTGTGTCCTGGTGCGGATGCTTATTATTAGCCCGCCCAAGTCCCCAAACATAGGCACGCGTGCCGTAAATCCTCATTTGCTCAGGCCGTGCACCGGTCCAGGCCTAATTCCTGAGCGAGGATCTGAGAAGCCACGACCCTGGCGATGGGGTCACTGACATTTCTCTGCCATGGGGCAAGGGCTTCCGGGCACAGGGATGGCGGGGATTGCTGGGCCTCAAATAGGTGAGACGGCCACGGCGTTGGACAGGGGGGCGGTTATTTTCGATCCTTCGACTCCTTGGCACCGTCTGACGACAGGCCTGTGTAAAATAAACCAATTTTAGGGGGAGAAGATCGTGCTCGAGAGGTACGCGAAGGAGTATTCGAGATAGTTGCCGGCGAGAAGTGCCGTGCTGCAGTCGACGACGTAGAACTCGTCTATCATCACTGTCACTCGTAGAAGCTGGTCGCAGACACGTCGATCTCAGGGTGGCTCCTCGTCCAGACGGACGCCAGGCTCTAGCAGTGCACTAAAAATGAAGCTTCTATGGAGAAGTCTGCCGATGGAGTGTTGCACTCCGTCCGTCTCCGTCTGCACGGGGACAGGGGTCAAGGCCCGCCTCGAGATGCTGCGACGCCGAGACAAGCTGGGGAATCTTATGGCCACGTCCTACGCATGGAGGCGGTCATAGTAATACCAACCATGTAGGTTCTGTTGGTAATTTTAGAAGCGTTGCGACATTGGCCCTGTCTGACAGAGAGCCTCCCGAGCTGGTGAGAACAGGTATTTAAGAGTCCTCCTCCTCAGTCCAGTTGTTCGACTTTCTTTTCTATCCAACCCAACAAAACAACAAAAAAACATTTTCAGAGCTGGTCTCTTTCGATTCTTCAAACCTTTTTTATATTTTATTTTTCTGGATCACTGGTTGATTTAGTACCTTAATACTTTTTTATTCTAATAATTTTTCAGTTGTTTTTGTAACCCTTTTTCAATCAACCCCTTACAAAATCATTCAAAATGGTCAGCTTCACTCAGATCGCCCTTGCTGCTCCCTTCCTCCTCGGCGCCGTCACCGCCGCTCCCCTCCCCAGCCAGGACCAGAACCTCGCCGTTCGATCCGAGGGCGCCGTCGAGGCCCGCGACATCTCCATTGAGACCCGCGAGCCTAAGAAGGAGCACAAGTCCAAGTCCGAGGACTCTGAGACCAAGGACGAGGAAGACTCCGAGAAGAAGGTCAGCAAGAAGCACCACGGCAAGAAGCACGGCAAGAAGAACAGCAAGAGCACCTCCACCTCCGGGGAGGACCTGAGCAACAGCTCCAAGGATGTCCTGAAGGGCAAGTTCCAGAAGTTCCTCAAGATCAAGGCCGCCAACAAGAAGGCTCAGAAGGAGCTCGCCGCTGCCCAGAAGGCCGCCAAGTCCGCCAAGGGTAGCGAGAAGGCCAAGTTGCAGAAGGTCGCCGAGGAGAAGGCTGCCGTCGCTAAGAAGGCTGCTGCCAGGGCCAAGAAGGCTACTCAGACCGCCAAGACCACCCTCAAGGGTCTGAAGAGCAAGCACGCTTCCAAGAAGGCTGGCAAGTCTTCCAAGAAGGCCCACCACAGCAAGAAGAACAGCAAGAAGCACTCCAAGCACGAGAAGGAGGAGAAGGAGAGCGAGGACAAGGAGAAGCGCGATGAGGAGATGATCGAAGAGCGCGACGACGAGGAGATGGATGAGCGCAGCCTCGACGACCTCGAGCTGGCCATGCTCGCCCGTGACCTCGACTACGTCCACGACATCGACCCTCGCGACATCGACGCCGAGTACGAGATCGAGGTTCGTGACTTCGAGTTCGACGATGAGCTCGATGTTCGTGACTTCGACGATGAGTACTTCTTCTAAGCATCCCTTAGATGTAGGTAGCTATCGGCCGGTCTCCTAGCTTCTTTCTTCATTTCTTGGGACAATACCCCTTCAGCATTGTTTTATCCTGTAATTTGCATAGCGATGGTAGCATGCCCTTTGGCACATAGAGTCTAGCGATCTTTTGAATTGGAAGATTATTAGTTTAAGAACTTTACCTTTCCCGTGTCTTCAATGTGACTGTCGTAACAACTAGTAACCCCTTCTATAGGGCTTTAGCTGATCCTATCCGAGACTTATCTTCAAGACATCTTCAGCAAATTCCATCGTCCATATAATATTCCATGCTATCCAGCAGCATCCACCAGCCAGATCTTGGCCGGACTGTAGTGATTTGGGGATCATTTCCCCCTTGCTCCCCTTGCATTGCCACTAATCCTGCAACAACCGTTGTGTGATACGTCTTCCCTGATCCCATATCCTCCAACTTGATGGGTACATCGGACACAGCGTTAGGTATTGAGTGGCGGGAGATTACAGGGAACGAAACGCCATCTAGAATGAGTCTTTTGCGATCCACGCCCTGCCCCATGGGAATGTTCACCAAATCCTGGTCAGAGTAGGCATGGATCGGATTGCCCTCTTCGCTCCAGAAGCAAAACGCCGCCAGCCATCCTGACAGTGTCGTCACCCCTCCAGAGCCACTCGCGCCCGCAGAGTGACACGCCCGCATCCAGAAATCCTTGATGTTCTGATCATCCGGCATGTCAAAGCTTGCAACCATCTTCTCCGCGACTTTCGACAAATATATGCACCACTCTGCAGGCTCGCTCCCATACTCGGAGAACCTCTGGATCCTTGCCGCCAGATCCTCCCAATCCTTCTTCTCCCCCTCCAGCGTCACCGAGGGAAAGCCGCACCCAAACATGACCACGTACTCGAAGTAGGATCTCATCGTCGCCATCAGCACCAGCGCCGACACCGTCCGGTCATTGGCGGTTGTGGTGCTGAACTTGGGCAGCAGCCAATCCGAGAGGTCCTCGTCCACAAGGTACTTCCTCATCGCCTGGACGAACTTGTCGGACATGACCTCGAAATCGATGTTCTCAAGGGATGCCGGCACCAAGTTGATCGCCAGCGTCTTCTTCCCCTCGTGGCTGACAAAAATGTCCCGCAGCTCCTCGGCATTGCCATTGACGTAGAAGCTGAACTGGACGAGAATGGCGAGCCACACGTCGTCGGGGCGCAGCACCAGGTGCAGGTCCTGCTCAAAGGCCCGGATGACGCCCTCCACGAAGCCGTTCCCGTAGGGAATGAGGCCCTGGCCGCTCGCTCCATTTACGAACGACGTCCGCAACACGGGCCGGTCCTCTGGGCCTGGCCGCTTGTTTGTCTGCAGGCCGGGGCTGGGGACTGAGGACTCGAGCGTCCAGGCCCTTGAGGTGACGGCGAGCAGTTCTTGGGAGGAGTTGACGACGCGGTCTGTGTTTTGCCCGACCTTTTCGGGCTGTGGCCGGATGGTGACGGGCATTCTTCGCTGTGTGGGGAGATTTCACTCGCGCCTTGCGTGTTGTTTACGGAGAATGCTACACCTGAGTGATTTAACGGTCCGTTCAGTTCAGAGGTTCATCTAGTTACGCCCATTAGGCTGATTTTCATGGCTGCCTTGCTTATTTGTTAGCGTGAGGGTGATGTTCAGCTCGTTGTTGGAGCGGGGCGCTGCTCTGCTTACTGCTCAGCTTTGGACAACCATGATCGCAAAAGTCTTGACGCTGACGGCGCGTTTCACGAATCTCCTCACTGGGTATCTCTGTACTGACTGGAAGCGACCTCTCTCTGCCATGAGTTGATGTTGCGTCGCATTCTCCGCAGGCTTGGAGGCACTTTCAAGTGTAAGCTGGTTCGTTCACTCTCATAGAAAGCCAGCTGCTTCACGTATCTAGTCAGTCTCAATACCACAGCTCAGTCTTCCGTCGGCGATGTTCGATATTCCTTGTCGCACTTCATTATGTCTCAATCTTGACCCTTAGGCCCTGCTCATCCTGACAGAACAATAAGATCGCGGATGCTCCTACTTTTACCAGGCTTTGTTGAAGGGATGAGGCAAGAAATTGCAACCAGAGCAACCCCAGTGCATTGCTTCTATGACTGAACCAAACATTTTATTCCTGCCCACTTCAGTAACCACTTGACCTGGTATCCCAATGATCTTCCAGGCTCTTTGACCAACATGAACTTGACGCTGACGAGTGACACACCAGCTTTAAGGATATGACGTGTTCCAGTTCTCCAAACCAAGTGTAGCTTGACTCCACGGACGATGGGCAAATCTAATTTGGTTAGAAGCCTCTCTGTGTTGTGCTTGAGATGTGCAGCGATCTCGGGCTTGCTGGAGTAGGCTCTTGTACCGATAGGCTTATATGCTTTGATGAAGACAGCAGTGGCCTTGATGATAAACATGAAGACCCGGAAATACGCGAACCAATACAGGAATGCCTGCCAAAACCCTTGAACATCTGGAAAGCTGGTCAGACTAAACCAGTGAGTTGCCATTTCCAGCTGATTTCTCAGCCGCCCTGGACAAGTATTTGGTCAGTCTTGAGCAAGAAATGTACAAGATAATTAACAAGCTTTCATCATCCCTAGCCTAGGATGAATTTGACATTCTCGGCCATTTTGTCAGCATAATTGCCTATGTTTGGCAAAGTAGTTGTATTGTTCACAAAATGCTTAGGAAGGAAGGGAAAGGCCCCGGGGAAGGGTCCTCATAAAAGAGGTGTTTGCTTCGATGATTTCTTCCACAAGTATAGTATTGCTTCACTCACCGATTAAAATGTCAAGGGACAACCTCAAGAGAGAGAGGAGAAGCCAAGTACAGAGAACATGACTCAATACGCGAAGCTTGCTGATTGTGTTTCTGAGGCATAAGATTCAAAATCTCGCCCATCTTGAAATTAGACTGGCGTTACTTTCTGATGTTCTTTACTTCATGTTTCATCGTCTCGACGAGAAGATATTAAATAGATGCGGGCATGTACTTGATTGTCATCCCGCACACCAAACCTGGTATAAGGTCTCCTAATCACCGCTCCATGTCCTGAAAGCTGTTCAGAGCTGGGAACATCAAAATGCTCTTGATTGGTAGACTAAATTCTACGCCTTCTCTGATTCATATGATTATCTGCATTTAGAAGTAAATGGATTCTCTATTTCAGGCTAAACTTGGTAGGATCGCGTTGATACAAAGATCGCCGCACGCGCTTGGTGTTGAAGTTATTCTCAAATAATGCTGTCTATCTTGAAAGATTTATTATCTCCTCAGTGGTTTAACCGAATATCTGTTAGATATCTCACACTCGGTCCCTCTTGATAACGTCCCCTATTTACGAATAAGGCCAGAAATAGCACTCTCTCGCCAGCTCCAGAGACTAGTCAAAGTAGCACCAGGCCCAATAACAATATTGCCAAACACCGTTGCAAGGGCAGCCTTGACTGCATCTTGAGTACGGACATACCCATCCCTGCGAAGCTGCCAGATAGAGTACAGACCGTGGGCCGCGAGAGCGCCCATAGAAAGTATCATGTCATACTTGAAGAACAGGCCGGCCTCGGTTGCGCGATCTGGCAGATTCCAGTTCTTCTCGAATGGGTTAGGCAGACCACAGAAGATCTTGCCAAGAGAAAGTTCGGGATGCGTGTAGATGTACGCCATCGTAACGATGTGGCTGGTGGCTTGGACCAATGTCGCATACGAGTAGGCTGACTTGAGACCGGCCACGTCGTCGTCACTGTAGATGGCCAGACGCTCCTCTTTGGCTTCTTGCTTCTTCTCCTCTTCAGTCTTGTGCTTGCCCAAGTTCCTCCACCATCGAAGGCCGGTCGAGAACACAGTTGTAAGAATAGGCACCATAGGCGGAGCGAATTGCCAAAGAGCTGTCCAGTCCTGCCAGGCAACGACGTTAGAGGGAATCATCATGAGTACGGAGGGCACTAGATATCCCAGAGTAAGGGCCGGAACGAGCGAGTTGACAACGTCGGGCTTGACAAATCGGTATTGAACACTAGTGTCATTGAGAGAGGAATGGAGAAGAGCCCAGTAAGGGGCGATGTGGCCAATTCCCTTCAGCTGAATCAAAGTAAGGAAGAGGGACGGCAAAGAGAGGATATTTGTCCTGTTGGCCTCGCGATTTCCCTCTACTGTCCAGACAAGAATGGATCCGACCAATTGAGAGAGAAAGTGGATTGCTTGGACTCTGGTAGCAAGATTCTCACTTGCGATAACATCTGAGAAGACGGAAGTCATCACTCTGAGAAGATTTCCAGCACCCGTGGAACTAGCCCAAGGCCGGATGATGGGAATTGTATTGGCCCAAAGGGTCCTGTTTGAGACGTCGAGCCTCATTGACTTGCCCGCGAGGTATATGGTAGCGCCCATTGCTCCACCAAACGCCGCCCAACTTGCCCATGATGCAATCTGACCAAATGGTTTTGCGGGGAGTTCATCTTTAAAGGGTACCACATGGGGTCGTGGAGGCACGGGCAGATAATGAAGGGAGGGAGCGTCAGCCATAAGCCCGCATTGTGCGTCGATCAAGAAGCTCTCCTTGACAAAGTTGGGCAGCACACGCAGTGCGAACCATGTCTTGAGCGGGTTTTCAGTGCCATTAACAACCTGATTCTCGTATGATTCGTCCACAACCTGCCTGGCGCGCTTGATTCTCGAGGACTCGACGTAGTCCATTATCTTTTTGACGTCACTGTCTTCTAGGCCGTTGAGACCCTGTGGACGCTCCTTTTGTACGTTCAAAATACCATTGACGAGCTCTGTAGCAGACTCGAATGCTAAATTGGCACCCATTCCCGTTCCAGGATTAGGCTAGATTGTGTATGTTAGCTGGCTGTCGCACTTGAATAGATATTGCTTCTTTACCTTGTGAGCCGAGTCTCCCATAGTGATAATTCTTTTGAACGACCACTTGTCGTATACTGTGTGATGAAGGGGTGTCATGCCTCCCACGACTCTGTGGTCGTAGAGATCCTGGAAGCGAACCTTGTCGGCGATTCTTGTATTAGAGTACTTCTTAATAAATGCTGCTTCTTCCTCGACGGAAAAGCGCCTTTGGATATCGTCCCCATATGGGGTTTTGCTGTACTTCTCATCAAGTAAGAAGAAGACTTGGCCATTGTGTCCCGGGAAGACGAAGTAACTGAAGCCCTTTCCTTGGGAAATATACACCTCCTCGAGAGAGAGGTTGGGAACGTCCTTGGCGATACCATAAGTGGCAAAGTAATAACAAGGAACTTTGGAGGAAGGATTCTCAGCAAAATATCCTGGCTGGGCCTCCTTGGCGATACGATACATGGTCTCTCTGACCGCACTGTAGATTCCGTCTGCTCCTACAACAATGCTTCCCTCAAAGACCTGGCCGTCGTTGGAATGGACCCGGACGCCATCTTCCTTCAGCTCAATGTCAGAAACTCGCTTATTCAAATGAATATTGTCCTTCTTCTGGATCTTGTTGTGCAATAGGCGCACGAGGGATGGGCGGTCCACAAAGAGCACCGGATATCCAAACCTGCAAACGGTCAACTATGCTCGATATCTTACTCCCCATGGTATCATTTCTCCCATGACAGCTCCTTACCTCTTCTCATAATGCTCGTAGCCATCGCGGCATACGAGATGCTGTCTCCCATCACTGCCCTGGACCCTATGAGTATGATAATGAGCTAGGCCCAAAGCTTTAAGGGGCTCGTAGCATCCTATCTGGTCCAGAATGCGGCAGCCATTGGGGCATACGGCTATACCTGCACCAATGGCTGGAGCAATCTCACCACGAGCCTCTAGAAGAACATAATCAATGTCGAACTTTTCCAGCATGATGGCCAGGGAGAGGCCGGCAAAGCCCCCTCCCACGATGACCACCTTGAAGGGTCTTTGGTCTTTGGCAGCACCCATATTTGCGTAATTAGAAACAACTGGTAGTGAGTAGAGTTGGAGAAGAATCAACGGGGTCTTATGAGATAGTCGGTGTAGTTTTAATTCCGGTTATCCCTTGATTGTGCTGCGGGCGTTGCAAGATGGTGTCTCGGAAGAGCAGTGTCTCAAGAAAAGACACCGAGGAATTCAACTCGCGGGTCCCGGCCGGCAGTCACTCACTCTTGAACTTTTATTTGCGGGTACCTTCAGCACAATTCTTTGCTCGTCGAGTCCGTAATCCTGGTAGTTATCTCCTTGTCGAAGCCAGCGCTTTTCTCTTTTATGGCCCCTACGTTGCCTGCCTGAAACAGCGATCCTTGCTGCTCCACCTGCTCAACCCACGTTGCGCAAGGATTCTTCATCACTCATTGCAGGAAACCCGAAAGGATCCATTACCGGAAAGGCCGGGGAATACTATTTCAACTTAGTGATCCTACCTTTTCGAAATGGATCAAGCTAATATTGCTTACCTGCACAGGGAGCCATGTCATATACGTGCTATATGTGGGAAGATGGGGCGATTTTCAATCAATGGAGTACTTTAGACTCTTGACACCGCAGATGGAATGGTAGGCATGTTACTACTTCACCAACTGGCCCATGTGCCGGTTGCGGTAGAGATGCCACGAGGTTTTTTCTAATCACACCGCTTGAATACTAGAAAGGACATGATCTTTGACATATGAGGCTTACGATTTTCCTTACCTTCCTTATCACTGCATAACTTAGATGATATGACGGAGACAATGCTGATTCATCGTTAGACTGTCTAGCCATTTGGGAGCTTCTCGCCCAAAATCTAAGATGATTCTAGTGCCGGGATATCCATTCACATGCTGTATGCCTGTTTCAGCTCGGAATAAGCTCTCAGCTGGTTCTGGCCAATATCTTGTGGGGATTAGTACTGGGGGTATTTATGATAAACTATCACTTATAAACATATGTACAGTCGAGATAAGAGCTCATGCAGTGAGCAAGAAACTGAGTCACAACGCTCCGAGTTCCTCTTCCACGTTGCAAAGGGAACAGGTAGAACGGCATTAGGGTTGCAGTCGGAGATAAAGTCATGCACCTGCCGGTAAGCAGTAGATGTGCCGCAATGCTCTGTAGGGGTCCAATTGGTACAAGGATGGAGGATGGAATCTGACATGCGGGGTCTCGAGGTGCGGAGTCATTTTCTAGACCATTCAACAAATGATCGATCATGGGCGTTGAAGAGAAATCAGATAGCTCTTCGGAGCTCACAATGGAGTTCACAAAGGAGCGCTCTGCGGCCGCTGTGACCAGCGATGAAGAGAAGTTGCTGAGTGATCCTGAGACTCAGATGTTGCCAACGGCAAGGGTCGCGCATGCCCCTGTGCCCAGTGGCTGGTTTGACCCCGGATCTTTTACAAACCTGCAGTGGGCGTCAAATATATCTCACACAGTCAGTGATACGATAAGTTACGTCGCCGGGCAGTTCTCAGAGGAGCCCCGGGGTTCGGCTGTGGAGGAAAAGAGGCGTTCCGAGGCGATCGATCAGTTTCTTGATCAAGAGTCCCACAGACGAGACCGACAACTAAAAGTGATGATGTTTGGTGATATCTGGCAAAAGCAAGTCCTCTGGAGACATTCTCGTCTAATTATGCAGCCATTGTCCAGTCAAGAGCGGTCAGACTTGATCCCTGAGGTACGTCGAGCTGTTCTTGACATGGCAATGACTGTCCTTCACTATCTGGATGAAGAAATCATTTACAAGACGAAAGAGAAGAACTGGGATGAAGGGTGGGCTCGCGAGATCAGAGCGATCAGATCTCTGCACTGGAACGACGAGACAGAAAGAGTGAACCAAATCCTGGCATTAAACAACGAGACTTTCCACGCCCAATTGAATCAGCACGGGCTTTCGATGAAGGAGGTATATAGCAAAACCCATTTTTTCGATGAACCTGGATTTCTGGCCTGTCCATATTATGACAATCAAGACATCTTCAAACAGGTAGAGAGAGTGTACGCCGCAGACTACGAGCCGACAGACCACGACTTTTTCCACTTTGACCGGCGTTTATCCCTAACCCTGATACGAGAAGTGAGAATCGAAAAGATTGGTTATTCTATTCAACTCCAGGATCCGGTTCGAAATATGGGTGAGCGACGAAAATGGATCCACCATATCGAGAACCCTACTGGTGTATTGTTCATTGCCGATATCAGCCGTTACGATGAGGCACTTCTAGAGGATGACTCGTCGAACGTCTTAGGCGAGCAGATTGTGGCTTATGAGTCAATCCTTTCGTCCAAGTGGTTTTATAAGGCCCCAATACTGCTTGCCTTGTCCAATGTGGTCTTGTTTGAGGCCAAGCTGGAAATCTCGCCTCTTGCCAAGATCTTCCCGGACTACGAGGGCACAAGTTTGGATGATGCGAAGGCATATATTGCCTCTAGATTCCTGAGTCGAGCCAAGGATCGGACAGACATTCATGTAGTATATCTCAATGTGTGCGATGAGCAGAATGTGCGAGAAATTCTTGACGCCATGGAGGGAACCGTACTCAAACCAGCACTTACGAGGCTCGGTGTTGTTGAGCAGATATAGCTTTGGTTTTCGATGTCACGATGGACCCATGGTTCGTTTTCTCTCAATACTGGAAAGAAGAATATATGGCATTTTTTTAAATAGCGTGGCGAGAGTGGTGATGATAGCGCGATTTCGTACGTCTTGGGGTACGTAAGAGAACGTGTTGACATGACGTGCAACGGAGAGTACTCGGTTTCATAAATCGGCTTTGTGATTGGATCTAAGACTTTTTACTTTGAAAGAGAATTTTGTGGCATTATTTATTTGATTCGTACGAAATTCCAAACCTACACATTCAATCATCATGCTTCGACTACCGTCCATTATTTCCTCCCATTCGAAAAAGAGAGCCACTACTTAAGGCTCTTAGACCTGGGGGTAGGCAGTGTAGTTCCATGGCCTGCTGTTTTGCAGCAGCTGGTAGTCTAGTCCCTTTGCTCCTGCGTTCATGTAGAAGAACTTGGTAAAAGGCACCATGCCTCGGTATGAGAACTCTACATTTTCAGGGATGAAGGCCACGTCACCCGCGATCAAGGTAGCCTTTTCATAGCCCTCAATGGCCAGTTCAAGCAAGCCATCTTCCATTTGCAAGCCGAAGTGGTTGGGCAAGACAGTGGCATCGCCAGTGGACTTGGGTGAGAGGATGACTGTACCAGTGGTGAAGTTCTTTCCGAGAGTAATGTCAGCGGTGGCTAGCGGCTGGATGATCTTATAGCCTGACTCTTCGTTCAAAAACTTGGGACCGTAATCCTTTGCGATGAAGTAAGGAAGCGTAGGATCGGTCGGTATCTCATTTGGTCCATCGTGCCAGTGCAGAGACTTGTCACCGGCTGTTCCGTTGACAAAGTCTCTCCGAGGGATCCAGGGCGCATCGTCGTAAAAGGCATAGAGATCGAGACTCTGCAGAGTGGCATCCTCCTTGGGCGTCAGTGCGCCGAAGGGGGGCTTGTCGTTCTCGGCCGGGACAAATGACGAGCTGATGCCCGTCGTGTCGAAGTCCCCGGAGCTGAAAACTTCGAACAGATGCTCGAATCCAGCAGGGTGGAAAACGTGCGTCAACGAAGAGTCAGGATCGGTGAGCTGGAAGGTGTGAATGCCATAGGGCGGAATGCTGCCGTAGTCACCCACGGTGGCCACGCGGGCCTCGTGGCTGGCGTTGGCCTCGTCCTTCATGCCCCAGAGCTGAACGCGGCCACGAGAGCAATAGAAATGCTCTTGAACCTCATGGTGGCGGTGAGGACGTGCAGATGTGTAGCCCCGGACGTTGCCAGTGTGCTGGAGGAGAGCAAACGCACCGCCCGAGGAGTTGTTGGTGATGGAGTACCGGATCACTTGGGTCTCAGCCAGCTTGGTCGCCTTGCCTCGGAACTTTGGTAGGACGTATGGCCTGACGTGATCGGGAGCTTCCATGACGATGATGCTCTCATTGTTGACTGCAACACCTAGTACAGGAGCGGCAACTGCAACAGCTGCCGCCAGAACGGTAGGGACTCTCATATTAGCTAATTGACTGTGAGCAGATCAGGATTCGAATCAAGGGAGCGAGAGAACGCGTTCAATTGTTGCTTTTGTTGAGCAGAACGAAACCTTCTTCTTATAGAACTTGACTCCGGAACCGAAGGCCACCTTCCCGATTCGCTGTGCTGACAGGGTTGAGAATGAATAATCAGGAAGAGTGGCAACTTGGGATTTTCGATGTTACAATATGGAGAAGTCCAAGAAGAGGTTTAATCCGGGGTTGGAAATGTACGACGGGTTGAGTAGAAATACACAATCTGGAATATCCTGGGAGCCGTTTCGTTGGACTAAGCCGTCGCGTCACGTCTTTGGACTTTCGAAGCTTTCGAAGGCCGTACCCTCATCTTTGAAACGGAGGCGGCGTATAGCAAAATGATCAGCGTACAAAAGTCGCCCTACGGTTCGAGAACATGAAGGCTCCGAAAATCTGAAACTCGGATCATTCCAGTTCCGGAAACATAGCTGCTGGGTGCATGAATGAAATTAGTTTCTGAGGCTGGATCCCACTTGGATCTATCCCACCGGCCGCCAAGAGGTGCATGTTGCATTCATCCCGCGTATGTATGCGTTTGGTCGTTGTGATCGACAGGCACTCGGAAACTCTCCCATCATGTGTAGCGTGCCTGCTTACTCTATCAAGGGGAGGGCATGCCGCGGTTCGGAACAAAGATCGATCAACGATGAGAGGAACGGAGTCACCGTTTGTTTTGTGGGGCTGGAAGGCGAATCTGATATTTATAACTTCCTAGTTGAGGCAGTTGTAGGATTTCCAGGGTGTAGGATCCTGGCGGTACGCGTGCGCCGAATGGAACTTTGGTCTTGGGGGTTTATAGAGTGGAGTGTTTCTTCGTTAATTCTGAGTTCCAGCTAGCTTTTGAAAGGCTTTGACAAAAACAGACTACACATCTTTCTATGTTGCTTATGCCTACTATATCTTCCAAGGAGTGTATTCGCTTCTGAATTTGCACATCTCCGTTTTTGTAATGTTTACGCTAAGATATGCCTGATGACATTCTTCGCTGAGCTGGTTTGCTATTGCTTCCAATCAGCATAGGGCCAATTTGCAAGCAATTGCCCGGTCGGCAGATATTATGAGGCCATGGATCGGTGTATAAACGGTGATCATGGTATAAAAAGCTCAAACTTCAAGCTCTTGCAAAAACTAGATAATGCTTATATTGAGGAAGGAGCAACGGATGCCCTGACCTGCTTGAGTTCTCGACGTTACAACGGGGATGACGTTGTAAGCATTAAATCTAGTTGATGATCAAAGAGGAAATCGAGATTTCTTGGCTATCCACTGGCGGTTGCGGGGTACCAGCTTAGAGGACAGAGGCTGGGACAACTTCGATGTGACGCAAGGCAAGCTATATCCAAATCGTTTACATTTAGCGACCCCGGCAATCCTCCACGAATCAAAATAGCTGGCTGGGATCTACGTGCTATCTAGCGGCTGGATAGTGGCTTCACATGTTATCAGTCAATGCAACGCAGCGGAACTCCGCATCTGAGACTGACTTAAACTCTCACATCAGCCTGGATGAATCCAACTGATAGTAGCCTTTTTTCCCCGCCGGACGGCACCCCAAAGAGTATAAGAAGACATTTATTCCCAAGTCAGTTCATTTTTGTCTCCCACTTGGTGCTTTCTTCCTCTTGATGCCAGGTCGACCCGTTACCCTCCCAGCCCCTCTTCGAAAGCTCAACTCGACTCCACCTGTCAGCTTACGCCATGGGTCTCTACACTGACCTTCCAGCAGATATCAATGCTGTAGACGTCATCATCGCCGGTGGAGGCACCGCTGGCTGCATCGTGGCATCCAGACTTGCCGATGCTGACCCAAACCTGTCCATTGTGGTCGTCGAGGCTGGCCCCGACGGAGCTGGGAACCCCAGCGTGGACTATCCCGTCTTCTTCTTGGGGAATATCCACCCTACCTCTAGCGTGTCGACCTTTTACAAGAGCAAGAAATCCAGCTTCACAGGCGATCGCGATATTTTCGTCCCCACCGGCAATGTGCTCGGTGGTGGTTCGGCCATCAACATGATGTACTACAATCGTGCTCAGCGCTCGGACTGGGATTCGTGGAATGTGCCCGGTTGGTCTGCCGACGAGCTACTCCCGTATATGAAAAAGGTTCGGGCTCATCTTGGACCAAGCTTCTCCGGCCCTTTCCTTCAAAACTGGCAACCTTGAAATTCTGACTTGGTGTCCAGCTTGAATCCTACCATGGCCCGGGCTCTATGGACCACCACGGAACTGATGGCCCGATCCAAGTATCTACAGGCACTTATGCTTCTCCCAGAATACAGGAGCAATGCATCTCGGCGATGAAGGAGCTCGGGTGGCCGGAGATTGATGACTTCTTCAGCGCAGAGAGCTGTAATGGGGTTCAGCGCCCTGTTCGATACATCTCTCGTGATGGTAAGCGCCAAGACACGGCATCGCGGTACCTGAGACCTCGTCTCGAAGACAACAAGCATCCCAATCTCCATGTCGTTGTTGGCACCAAGGTCATCAAGGTTCTGATTGAGGGTCAGCGAGCCACCGGTATAGTGCTCAAGGGCAGTGCGGCAGAGGAGCGCACGATCCGAGCCAACAGACTGGTTGTTGTATCCGCGGGCACGTTTGGTACACCCGCAATCCTGGAGCGGTCCGGGGTTGGCAGTGCTGAGGTCCTGGAGCGTGCTGGCGTCACTCAGGTTGTCGACCTTGCCGGTGTCGGAAGGGAGTATGAAGACCACAGCATGGTGATGTACTCGTTCAAGTCTGCTCTGGAGCCCGAGGAGACTATAGACGGGATTCTGAGGGGCAAGATGAACCCCGCTGAGCTGATACAGAGCAACCACGCGATTTTGGGATGGAACACCGTGGAGGCTTCACTTAAAATCCGGCCAAGTGAGAAGGACATTGCTACATTTTCTCCTGAATTCAAGGAGCATTGGGATACCGAGTATAGAAACAAGAAGGATAAACCTTTGGTTTTGATGGCTCTGATCTGCACGTAAGTCTAAGAATCATTGACTCGCAAGATGCCGATAGCATATTAACTGAAACAGCTATCCTGCGGATCCCACTGGGGTTCCTGACGGACAGTATTTTGGCATGCCCGTCTTCACTGCGGACACTCTCTCGAAGGGTCACCTCCACATTACTGGTCCGGGCTTGGATGATCCCGTCGATTTTGACATCGGGTGCCTTTCAGATGAAAAGGGGATTGATCTTCAGAAGCACAGGTGGGCGTACAAGAAGCATCGAGAGATTGCCCGCCGTATCGGTGTCTATCGTGGAGAGTACGCACCTGATCACCCTCCATTCCCGTCCGACTCGAAGGCAGCGTGCGTTGAACTCGATGGACCACCTCAGAACGTGAAAGACATCGAGTATTCAGCCGAGGACGATGCCATTATCGATGCTTGGGTACGGGATAAAGTCAACTCGATATGGCATTCCCTCGGTACATGCAAAATGGCCCCGGTTGAAAACTACGGTGTCGTCGGCCCCAATCTGAGTGTCCATGGGATCCAGGGCTTGAAGTTGGTTGATTTGAGCATCGCCCCGAAGAATGTGGCTGCCAATACGAACCATACAGCACTTGTGATTGGAGAAAAGGGGGCGGATATTATCATCAAGGAGCTCAATCTTTGAACAAATGCTATACTTTTTAGTGTCTAGGCTGCGCTTGTCTCTGTTTTCTTTTAGGTCATCAAAATCATCTCCCAATCTTGAAAATGCCATCAAAACGTTAAGAAGAAAAGAATTATCATGGCTTGAAGCCGCCACGCCGTACCATCTCTAATAGTAATTTGTCCACCATTGCGGACTCGACCACTGCTCCGAATCTGCCATCTTCGTCAGTTTTTCGAAGTCCATTGGGTCCCAATCGATTTCCATAAGATAGAAGAATGGCAACATACCCATGACATTTAGCCGCATCTCGTAGCTTATCCGCCAGCAGATCTAGTCTTTGTGCGTCGATCTGACCGGAATATGGTTGATTCTGGATGTGCTCCCATATCTGTACCGGCGTCTGCTCCGTCCCGGGACACAGCTCAGGCGAAAGACGAAGGAGTCGATCAAGGATTGCTACTGGGGCTGCTTGGGACGTTTTGTCGACATGTGGCATGTTGCATGATTCTAGCATCATTGTTGCCGTAAATGTATGACCGTGGGGATCATCTGGTTGATTTGGATCGCCATGAATATGGCCAAGGCAGATGCTTTCGAGCCTTGTTGGAGGGAATATTAGCGGCTAGAACGAGTCTGTCTTTCGGTTGGCAAGAGGCTCACTCACCTGAGAACGAATTCCATCCTTATCCTATCCAGATCGGAAGTCTGAGGAGAATGAGAGTTGGTGTCAAATGCAGCTGGTGTTAACATGTTGAGCCCCTGTTGACTTGAGAGTAGGTCGTCAAATGTAGTGGCTGGGGAAGTTGTCGCCGTATTTGGGGTGTGGCCCCCATATAGTGGACTGTAATGCGTGTGCACCTCGCTCCGGGCCGAGCCGAGCGATAGACCAGGAGGGAGCTCAATGCCTTGCTGGGACAGGTAGCTGATGAGAGCATCGGTGGTGCCGCGAAGCCTTTCAACCTCCTGAGTAAGACCGTTCTCGCGGAGGGCGGCCTGTGCTAGCTGCTGTTCGAGGCATTTGGTGTACTTTTCTTTCCTCCGATGCGTTCTAGATGGATCGTGAGAATGATGATGTCTTGTTCAGGGGCATGAAAACATACTGCTGAGCACGACGGAGTTGTCCCCGGCGTTTGGCTACGGGGTCCTCGCTTTTTCCTGCCCTCCACGTAAGCATTTGATTAAGGGATTGGCGGAGCAGGTCATTCATTATACGAACCATCAGGCTTGAAAATCCGGAATATATCGCGACTCATTGCTGATAAATAGCCTGAGACGTGCCAATCAGGGGAGCAACAGAGCGTGCGATCCTGGTAGACCCGAGCTAGGCCAATAGGTGTTCGCGCAATCCGGGGATCGGTAATTCCCTCTGCAAGTACGCTTCCTGAATCCGCGAGAGTGATATTGCCAGTGTCGAATGCGTATGTCGGCGTTGTGTTTTGGAAGAAATTGTGTCATCACTAGTTCAGCTTGAAGATGAGGCAGGGCTAATACGAGACCAAGCCAAATCAAGAAATCTTGATTACTGCTCCTCATAATCAGCCGGAAGAGTGTTGATCCAAGCCCAAACTGGAAATTCTGATTATCAGCTCAATGCCTCCACAGTTATTGACGGTTATGACGGTTGTCAGCTCAGCACAGCCTGTAATCAAATGCTTTCCCGGATAGGAAATGTTGATTAACTTCCATTTGGGTTGAGAACAGAGTATTTTTTCGATATATAAAGTTTGACTATCTCCGGTGTTTGTCCAGTCAGTCTTTGCATCTCAACAGTCACCAAGAAAGACAACCAAGAGACATTCATTCACTAGCCTCCGCTCACTTCTTCTCCCGTTTTCACCATGTATACAGCAGTTCTCGCCCTTCTTTGCTTCCCCCTGGCCATGGCAAGCCCGTGCCAGGGAAGAGATCCCTATAAGACTGCAATCTACCTTACAACAAATGAAGATCAAAACTCGGTCGTCGCCCTGCCCATCGGCCGCAATGGTCTCCTCGGAAATGGTACAAGCATTTCAACTGGTGGGCGTGGTGCAAGTGGTCTTCTTGCAAGCAACAACCAGCCTTCCGCTCCCGACTCTCTTTTCAGTCAGTCAGCTCTCACGGTGTCTGGCAAAGTAAGTCGTCTCTCTATTTTCAAATTCGAGCATGGTGCTAATGATATGCTATTACAGTATCTCTTTGCTGTCAACGCCGGGTCCAATTCCCTCTCCATGTTTCTCATTGATCCAAATGACTCCACCAAACTCACCCTGGTGCAAGAGCCTCTGTCCCTCCCAGGAGAATTTCCCGTAACCGTTGCAGCCTCTCAGAAGAGGAGCTTGGTGTGTGTGGGATTCAGCGGCGCCAAGGCCGGTATCTCGTGCGCCAAATTCTCCGCGCATGGCATCGAAGCGATGGACCAGCTACGCCCTATCGAGTTGGGGCAGACTACACCTCCTCACGGTCCTCTGAACACCGTCTCACAGGTCTTCTTCGCCGCGGATGATAAAACCTTGTACTCGACCGTCAAGGGGGACCCAATGGTCAACAACACTGGCTACTTTGCCTCGTTCCCAGTCCAGGATGGCAAAGTCAGCAATGAGGGAGTCAGGTCATCTCCAAACGGTACAGCCGTGCTTTTTGGATCGGTGGTCATTCCCGGGACGAACGATGTGTTTGTGACCGACGCCTCTTTCGGTGCCGCCATTCTAGATATCACCAAGGACGGCAAGGCTGTTTCCGCCAGTCGGGGACCAATTGCTGGCCAAATGGCCACTTGTTGGGCTACATTAAATCAACGCACAGGCACTGGATTCGTTACCGATGCAGTTGTGAACAGGCTGGTTGAAGTGTCGCTTGCAGACGCCAGTGTCCAGAGCAGCATCGACCTGAGCGCAAACGGCGACCCTGGACTTCTCGACCTTGTCTCCCATGGAAAATACGTCTACGCCCTCAGCGGTGGTAATGGGACCACGGAGGCGGCTATTGTGGTTGTGGACGCTGTCAGCAAGAAGCAAGTGCAGCATCAAGGCCTGGCTTACTTGGGTGCAGGCAAGAGTTCGGCAGGTCTGGCCATTAACTGGTCTTAGATTATCATTCAGCGATTATTAAAGCATTGCTTGAAGTCGCAGCGGGTAGAGAGATGGTATAGAGAGGTTATGGAGGCTCTAATGCTTAGGGCCTTAATCAGTGTGATTCTTTTAGACAGATAGATAGATTCTTACCAATACATCTTTTCCAAGTTGGATAGTAAGTTGCTCTAATTGCTCTTAATTGAAAATAATGACATTCAGGACTCAGTGTTTTGTACGACCTCTTTTCGGAGTGGGAGTGTCCGGTAGGTGATATGTGACATCAATCAATCGGGTTGTCAATGCGAAACAGTATCTCATGACAAATTCAAACCAATGGCTGACCAAGGTGCAAAACTCGGTCAAAGACTGGGAGCTTATTCCTCCTGACAGAAACGAAAATGCTGTGGCTGGTTGGCTGACATGCTCATTGGGCATAGATTGATGCGGGCGCTTCAAAGTCCTGTCCTACTGGCCAAGAGAGTGCCATTGATAAAACGTACGTCACCCCATTCGAGAGCTCCTGCATTCTGCACTTTTCATCATCACCGTCGCACCGCAGATGAGGGGTTGGAGCCTGCGCCCCCTCTCCCATCATCCTCGCCTTCTCCTCTGTCTTCCTTCATTGAATAGTTGTCAGTTTGCCTTCATCTGAGCGTAGAAACCAGCGCTTCTAACCATACTCAGGCTTTAGGCAGGTAGCTAGGCACGAAGAGTGTTCCCATGGCTCGCTTCCGAGCGCTGGCCACCTACCCCTTCCGACTCGTCGCCTCCGGTGCCAAGTGTGTCATGAGTATCCTCAAAGGCGTCTGGGGTCTCTTCCCCTGGTCCCAGCGGAAGCGGATGCAGCGAGAGGACGAGGAGCGGCAGATCGCGCACAACCAGTACTTCGTCGACCACATCCTCAGATCGGCTGCCGCTGCACCCATAAGTAGAGTCCTGGACGAACCTCTCTCGGAGAGTACCAGCCCCCTCTTCAGTCGTATCCCACCGGAGATCCGTCGCGATATCCTGCTGCATGCCTTTGGCGAGCACACGCTGCACATGGACCTGGGATTCCAAGCCCCGCCCAAGCGCGTCGACGAGGAGCCGACCGATCCTGATACCACCGCCCATGCGGGAATTGAATCTCAGGAGTTCGAACCCTCCGACGATGAAAACGGAGAGTGGAGATGGGGCGGCTGCGTCTGCCATCGCTCCCCGCCGGAAGAGAACCCATTGTCGCTGGGCAGGCTTCGAAGTGATCCCCTCGTACGCGCCAGAGGTTCGCATTATACCGACGGATGCTTGGTTGGCGAGGCCGCTTGTCCGCATTGGCCAGGACAGTGGCCCGTCAAATGTCAGGTCGGAATCATGGGCTGGCTTCTGAGCTGTCGCCAAGCGTGAGGACCCCCATTGTCATCTGAACTGGCCACTTGCTTACTTCGTTCGTTACAGGTATCTCGAGGGAATGGAGGTCCTGTACGGAACAAACACGATCCAGGTCTCGTGCAAGCTTCTCCTCCGTGGCTTTCCGGATCTGGTCTCCTCGACTATCATGTCGCACATAACGTCCCTCAAGCTTGTCATCAACCCACAGAACCTGACCCTTCAACATGTATTCATTGGCCACTTTGATCATATCCGCTCTCGGCAAAAATCCCAGAAACCGCTGTTCCCATCGCTAGTTTATCTCCACGCATGGCTCACCGGCCCGGAATATGAACTGCTTGGTATGGCTGATGCCGATGCGCTCATGGCTGCAAGCCACAATGCGACGAACATATACGCACCGCCGGAGTTGGATACCATGATTCTCAGACTTGCACCGGCTACAGCAACCGTGACTGTCACTTGCCCGTTCACTGTGTGGTACAGGGAAGTTCTGGGGGATCACTACATTAGTCAGGGCAAAGAGTGGACAGAGGAGCGAGAATCGGAATATGGAGGCATGGAGTTCTGGCGTCAGATGCCCGTTGAAGGGCAGCTGCCCAAGACAGATGAAGAGTGGCAGGAAGCCAAGAAGAATGGGCGAGGATTCTGGATCCATCGTGGTCTAACACAAGATGCCCCTCTGATCCGTGAAGAGTAGCATTGAGAGAAATGAGTGGGATATAGTTGGGTTTGCAAGTCTAAATTGTCCTTGAGGTCTACCTTAGCAACTCACCGGCTCACAATAGGTGGGAGACAAATTGTACGCTTTTCACAATACCAATCTTATTGTCTTGCGCTGGCGGCGATCTTTGTGACATGCCTGGGTCTTTAATTGGTCGCTGTCCCAGGATGGGCAACCATATGACGGCCAAGACTAGAGAACGAATTTCTATGATCACCATGTCGTATCAATCACGGGTGTTCTGAGTGTATCGGTAAGACCCTGTCTCCTCTGTAGAATCAGTAGAGTCCAATCCAGCACACATCACTGTGTTGGAAGCTGCGCCCTCCATATTTCGGCATCCAAAGAATATACGAAACGTCCGAGAAGTAGTTGGTTGCGGACAGATACATGTAGACATCACCGTATGCGATCGGTTCCAGGATTGTTCGGTTCCTCGTGGGCAGCATGAACTAGGACAGGAAGATGTCGGCTTAGGCATGAGGCATGCTCTTTTTGGGGCCAGCACTTTGTCAGTTCCGTACTTCTCAAGTCTGTACTTCTCAACCTCCGTCTATATGCTCGTAACCAGCCAGACTATCCGAAGATCAAAGGGCCATTGCACCATGTGAGGACGAGGAGGTAGGGAGGATCGACAAGACTTCGTAGCTTTTATCGTTCGCAATCGACCGCAGGCAACTTATCAACAAGTGAGAAAGCCTAGTAATAAAGGAGCTAGTCAGCACGTACGTAAGAGAAGAGAATAAAATTCATCAGCAGTGGAGGCTGCCAGAGCCCGACAACTCAACAAAATGAGCCAGTCAGTACAAAGGCCTTTGTTGGATGCCTTTGCCCAGTAGCTCACCCAGCGCGAGGTTGCCCTAGTTTGGTACAATAAACCGATCTCAAGGCAGATTCTCATTCCGCCTTTGACACAAAGTTCAGTCTTCCCATAGTTTCGTCGTAGCAAAACCGCATATGCAGGAATGGAAACACACAACCAAGAATGCACTTAGGAGGAAAAACGGAGTTGGATTACGTGAACAAGCAACGAAGCCATCGTATCCACAAATAAGCCAAAGAAAAGCTGCACGGGTCAGCTGATAGACGGGCGGGCAGAGGAGTGACACACGCGGGAAGTCTTTCATGCTGCGGGATGGTGACCCCCACCCGTGGTTACTAAATTTTGCCTATCCTAATTATGCTTCCGGTTTCACTCAACAGCTAGGAACGTTTGAACACGTCGTCAAAGGAGTTGTGAGACCTCCGGGTAACGGCATGCATCTGAAGGAGCTGGAATACCAGGGGATAAAGGAGAAAAATGGGGGTTTGTGCGGGTAATTTTGACATTCACTTCCCTAGTGGGCGACCCGAACGCTGCTAGAATATTGGAAGTGCCCAACAAATGAAGAACTCACGATGCAAGGCGGTATGGGAAAGGAAGGGGCTGCAGGAGGTGTCCCTTTTGGACAACCCGAGGGCAGGTCTCGGATACTGCTCCACCGAGAAGTGGAGGTGCAAAGATGGGAATGAGCTTGTGCTCGGATGGTGGAGACGGAATCTGCATGCGAGCAGAGACTAGATGGAGGGAGAAGAGACAGGGAGCAAGGGGAGGAAGCACGGAGTACCCAGAGCGGCAACAGGATGGGCACAACTCGGCCAACACATCTGGGTGCGGTTACAAATCACATGGCCTCTGCCCCTTTCCTGGTGCATACCGCAAAGGATGGAAATGACACGTTACACAAGGGAGGTCACAGTGTTCAGCATCACGAGGAATGGGTTTTCACACTCTGTCCGTGTTCTGATCATCGGGTGTTTTGCGCACACACTGGCCGTTGCACAAACCTCACGATGGCTTCAAATTGCCGGATTGGTAAAGTGGACAGGACACGTCCCATACAGCAATGCCCCGTCAGCTGACTCGAGTCGGGATCGGACCCTGGGGCTTGCTTTTATTGGTGCTGCCACAGGGATTATGCAATTCAATTGCCCCACGGGAAGGGAAAGGGGTGCTTCTATGAGAGTGGGAGACTGCATTCCCACAAGGTAGTATGAGGCCGAGCCCGCAATTCCAGTCGAGAGACGGACTACCCTAGATCGATGCTGCCGTCGCAGTGGGCAATGGAACCGTTCGTTCCAATCACGCAGCTCGTCTGTGCGACGATGAACTGATGTTCTGTAGCATTTGATGGATTGGGCTTCTTGCAGGCTGCGGCTTAGCTGGGGTAGCATCCAATGGCATCAACAGACTCGTAGTTCACTGCCAGCGGGAATGTGACTGTGTACGTGTAGCTTATTTCCTCCCTCCATGTGGGAGGAGGATTCACACGGCAATGTGCCGATTGGGGAGCCTCTGGGAATGCAACACCACCCGGCTCGTCGTATTCCCTTTTCCGGGACGATATCGGGACTTCATCGGTCCATCGAAACACACGGCGGCACCAATGGGAGGCTCGCAAATGGGTTGACAGGGGCGCTAGATGGCATTATTTGCTAGTCTGGTGCTTGCTGCTGTGTCACGGAGGCTAGAGACATGCCCTTGCATGCATCCTCGCCCAAAGGAGAGTCCGCTGGAGCATGGAAATGTTGCTCCGGAAGCGCCAGCGTACGCTTTGTGGGTCAAGACCGGTTGGTTGGGTCAGAATTCAGAAGGTGTGTTTTCGAGGGAGGGCTCAGGGAGGGGGAGGAGTCAGAATATTGGACGGGAAGGCTGGTAGCCGGAGTCAGTCAGGGGAATTTGGGGGTTCCTGGAGAATCTCCCGTCACTTCCGTCGGGCAGAGCTTCGGGAGAGGCTGAGGCTGGGTCTGTATGACAGCAGCAACTGTCCACGTGAGACGCCTCGTATGTAATAACTGACTGCTGTGCTGCCTCGGGTCCCTGGCGGAGGAGGAGGTACGCCCAACGGATCTCGATGGCTGGTGGCCTCGCAAGCGTCAGGATCAAGTGATCACGAGGCCAGTTCCCTGTGGAGCGTTGCCCTGGATTAAGTTGGCCTTGGGCTCTGGCCCCAGATCTCCACTTGTTCGGATTCTCCAGATCGATGTAGGGTCCTTTCTCCATCAAAAGTCAATGCCAAATTTACCTACAGCCTTGGCCATCTCTGGCAGTTCGGCTAGACAGCACTTAGTGACCCCCAACCTTTTCTTTCCGTGGCCCCCGTCCCCCGCGGTCGAGACAAGTCGAAGGATAACCCCTTTGGTGATTCCGTGATTACTTGACCCCTTGCTCCACCATCTGCACGCACTCCCGCCGTCCACGTGAACGACAAATTCTCTGTCCATTGCCTCTTCCCCACCAATTTGCTGCGAGATTCTGTGCTTGTGCTCCCCTGCTACCTGGGCGCCGGAGAAACCGGGGCAGCAGGGCCCGAATGGAGGCAAAAGGGGAAACAAAATGGAACATGTCACATGGCGGGTGCTGCCTACATGTAAGCATGTTGAGCAAAGGTAAGCAGCCGGAGGATGAGCATGTCGATGATCGATAATTGTACGATGGATGACCGGAGAATGACGCCTGGACAACGCAATTGAGCAAGCCATCATCAGCCACTGCCCTGAAATCTTGATTGGCGCGGTTCCTGGTCAATTGGTTGATTCATAGACTTCGTGATCGCTTGATCTCATGCCCGATCTCACATCAGACCCCGCACGACATTTACCCGTGGAGGAAGTCATCCAGGCGCTCAATCAAGATGCTGCTCGTGCCCCCCGGCAGGGAAGCTGACCAGGGCCAGGATGCTCCAGCACAGCCAGCTCTCTTTCTCGTCCAAGAGGGTGTGGGCGGACTGCTTCTGGCTGGTCTGTCAATCTGTGATGTGAGCTTCATTTGTGGGGATTACCGCTTTGGGCAATCCGAGGCAGACACGTCCAAGAGCCACCCTTTGGGGTGTCTCGTGGCATCGCAACTCTGCTCTGCTCTCGATGTTGCCGCTCACACCGAACCGGGACTGAGACGAGGCGAGACGAGAGTGAGCTTGGTGCTCTAGGCCCAGAATTTCACGATCATAAAAAGCCAGCTTGCGAACCCTCAGTCTGGTCGTTTGTCCATCACTCCCAACATCAGAAGAGTCTATTCACCTCGAACACACTCATAAAGACACTTATAAAGACACTTCTATCATATATCAACCCACCTGAACTCTAAAAATACCACCACATCACACCCACTCCATCCATCTAGCACACCACAACCATCAGCGATGGAGCAAGTCGAGATCCAGACCTGGCCGGCCACCCTCTCCCTCGTAGGAGAGCCCGCGCCGACCATGAAGGCCCTCCGCTTCCACGGCCAGAAGGACATCCGTCTCGACGACGTCCCCATCCCCACCGTCTCGGCCGGCAAGGTCAAGATTGCCCCCAAGTTCTGCGGCATCTGCGGAACCGACCTCCACGAGTACCTCGGCGGTGCCAACCTGATCCCCAAGCCCGGCAAGCCCCATCCCATCACCAACGAGTCCTACCCCATCACCCTCGGCCACGAGTTCTCCGGCGTTGTTGAGGAGGTCGGCGAGGGCGTCACCCACGTCAAGAAGGGCGACCGCGTCTGCGTCCAGCCCATCATCTACGACGGCGACTGCCGCTCCTGCACCCGCGGCCTCGTCAACTGCTGCGACCGCAACGGCTTCATCGGCCTCAGCGGCTGGGGCGGCGGCCTGGCCGAGTCCACCGTCGTCCCCCACACGGCCGTCAAGAAGCTCCCCGACAATGTTTCTTTTGAGGTCGGCGCCCTCGTCGAGCCCCTCGCCGTCGGCTGGCACGCCGTCGACATCTCCCCCTTCCGCGAGGGCGACTCGGCCCTCGTCCTCGGCGGCGGGCCCATCGGCCTCGCCGTCGTCCAGGTCCTCGCCGGCCGCGGCTGCAGCAACATCATCGTCAGCGAGGTCAGCAAGAAGCGCCGCGAGTTCGCCCTCGAGTTCGGCGCCCACAACGTCATCGACCCGACAGCTGAGGACGTCGTCGAGCGCGTCAAGGCACTCACTGGCGGCCGCGGTGCCGACGTTGGCTTTGACGCCGCCGGTGTGCAGATCGCTGTCGATTCTGCCTTTGAGGCCCTTAAGGCCCGCGGCACACTGGTCAACATCGCCGTCTGGGACAAGAAGGCCGGCGTCGACATGAACGAGCTGGTCTACCGCGAGCGCCACTACATGGGAGCCGCCACCTTTAGCCTGGGCGACTTCGAGGCTGTGATCCAGGCCATTTCCGAGGGTAAGATCAAGCCCGCCGGTATGATCACCAAGAAGATCCAGCTCGACAAGGTTGAGGCTGAGGGGTTCAGCGCCCTGATTCACGACAAGGAGAACCAGGTTAAGATTCTGGTCGATGTTGGCGCTGGACTTGCTTGAATCTGAGATTGAAAAAAAAAACCAAAAGTGATCATGATACTTAATGACTTGTATATATCTTCGTTTCTTTTGTCGCATTTAGCACAGCGTTGCTTTAGGATAGTCGAAAAATCTTTACTTAGATAATTCTAATATCGCATTCAAAATAATTCAAGTCTTCCATTTCCCGTTCGTGTATGTGACCTTCAAGTAATTTGATTCATCCCCGTTGGTAAATAAAGCTATGAAAAATTGGAACATGCATGCCACTGATCAGAACGTAAAATCATGTTGCCATTTGACCATCGCAAGGTTGCTCAATCTTCTACGTGAGCGCTTCAATCTCAACATTGTCTTGGTACTCTGAACGAATTGTACTGGACCGAGCCTGGGAAATTGCGTTCTTCCTATGCCGGGCCTGGTAGATCCATAATATACCAAGAACCAAGGCTTGTGGTATGAGCGTTGCAGGCGGAGGAATCGGCGGGTAAAAGATAGCAGAGAGCAGTCGTGACACGCCCCAACCCATCATCGAGGAGAACAGGGTCACAGTTGTGTCAGTCCATGACTCGGATTCGTTTACGATTGACGCTAGGAAAACTATTGGAAAAGCCATAACATTAGCATTAGAAAACAGACTGTCGCAAGTGAAGGCAGATACTCACGAGGGAAAACGAAGACATTTGTTCGGGCGAGGACATGCGCCGTGCTTCCAAACACTCCTCTGACTCGGAAAAGTCGGAAGAAGAAGCCCACCGAGGGTGATAGATCGCAAAATATCATAACATAACCTTCAGATCGAATATGTTAGTTTTGTGGGATGGATATTGGATATTTCGATGAACTTACGATGAAGACGCGGCAGCATTGCTAGAAACAGACTGATGACCAACATAGCCACCGTCACTCTGGTCTCTCCAACAGCCTTGCCTAATCCCCTGGACCTGTCTCTCCAAACATGGAGACCGCTCAGGGCAGAGACGAAAAAGACGAGCAGCGACCGGATCCATTGATACCGTGACATGCGAAGCTGCAGAAAAGCCTGCCAGGTTTCAAGTCAGCTTGTCATTCCTGATACACAAAAGACAGATGAAAACACACCTTTCTGAGCGACACACTGGAGGCTCCATCCAAACTTCCATTCACTGAAAGCTTGGTCACTGCAGACCGACGGGATTGCACCACCCTCTCCGCTGTGTCCAACCTTGGCGAGTCTTCAGGTAGACCAATATAGTTCGCTCCCAGGGTTCCTATAAACAGCACTGCACCTGACAAGAACAGCTGGCCAGAACGATAGAAGACTGGATTGTATGCGTTAAGGAGACTGAAGACCTGGCTGCCGAGCACCGACCACACGACCATGCGGACTGGCTGTTGTCGAGCAGGAAACCAGGACCAGGTGTACATCACCAGCAGTGGGAGCATCAAACCGGCCGATATTCCTAGAAGACCTTCCAAGAGATGTTTATACTTGACCACCTCCTTATGGTACGTCATATCTGACAGCGTGTACAAGCTGAAAAGGATCTCTAGTATAGTCATCAGCATGTTGGCGAGAACACTGCAAAGGACACGAGGTGGAGGGAAATTACATACCGTACCAGTACGCAGCAGGTACTATTACTCGCGTGAAAATCCGTCTTCGCACGAAAAGATACGCGAGGGGCTGGATTAGAAGGAAACCAGTGAAATATGCCTCTTCTTTGCCCGCAAGCGAGTGATAGAAGGTTAGCCCAAACACCCGCGCCCCCAACTACTAATTGTCAGCTAGATCCAAAGATGATAACAGTTTCGTGAATCTCAACATACCAAACTAGCCAATAGGAATCCCGAAGGAATGAATCTTTTGTATTTCCGACCAGCTAGAAAAGCCGTCTCATCAACTGAGTTTGTATTCAAGAAGAGCGGTTGCACTTCGCCATCAGGAAGAGTCTCTTGAGGTGGCTCAACATCTGGTTCTGCGTACTCTGGCATCGTGTTCAGAGAAAGCTTGGCGGATTGCACATAGTGCATCTTCTTTGCCACCATGCCATCCACCCTGAGAATCTGTTCACGATGATAAATACCTGTGTGATGATCATAGGAGCAAAGCACAGCACGCCGTGCATCGCCTTCTTTTCCACACAGAAACACAGCAACTGGAGGTTTCCTGCACCGGAAGTAGGTAATGGTGCATCCATAGGTATCTACGAGAGTAAAGTCTGACTCGGGAGCTGGGCTCGAACTTGCACTGCTGCCACGGATAGAGTAATGAGTGAGTTTGCCGAAATCGTAGCCCCAGATGTATCGCTCAACAGTGGCCCTATCAGCGAGCCCTTCAATGCCTATAAGACGAGCCTTGGCCGGGGCAGGGCGGGCTTTGGCCCCGAGCAAGAATGCAAGAGGAGTGGTCTGAAAGAACAGTCCCGAGATGAAGGCACCCGTCGCGGTTGGGTCATTTGCGATTTGCTGGAAAGCTGCAAGTCCAAACACGACCAGCAACTCACCAACAAGCCCCGAGGTCAAGTAGAAGGCCAGGCCATGAAAGCCAAAGTCGATCCATTGTACGTGAGTTGTTGACTTCTTGGCTTTGAGAAAGTACAGAGGTGCTACGAGCGCGACACCAGCTGTATATCGAGCGCCGACACTGATGAGGTTAAACAGCACACGTACCAGCTCGAGCTCCGGGTTGGAGAACTGAAGATATACGTTTGCAAAGTATGCTCGAAGCAAAGGCATCGCTACTGCAACACTGAGAGAGATGCCGATGAGGCGACGAGTGAATTGGGAGCCAAACTCAAGGCCTGGTGCAGCAGGGATCTGGTCCCAACATATAGAAGCTGCAGGGACATAATCGAGGACGATGGCATCCGACTCTGTGATTTCGCTAATGCGAAAGGTAGGCTGGATACTGGCAAGATCTGTGTTCCAGTCCTCTTGTTCCTTGCCATAGGGCGCATCGCAGATGATGCGCTCAAGAATACTACTCCTGGGCTCAATCTCCGCCGCGAAGCGTGCGAATACTTGGAACGGCGAGTCGCTCGGGTACACGTGAGGCTTCTGGTGGTCTGGGAAGAGGCTCATGATGGCATAAGTCACGTCCCATGAGTGGAAGGGGGTAAGATTCTGCCTGGAGAAGTAATTGAGAGCCAGCTGGATGAGCCGCAGCGGAGGCAAGCTGGCTGATCCTTCGAAGTGATCGACCAAATCCTTGACAACAGATCTCGAATTCTCCCAGCCTAGATCTGCAACGTCGCGTTTGGTGAGGACCTTTGGTTCCTCGGGATCACTGAGGATGTAGAGGCTGATGTTCTGCTCGCTTGGGGAGAGAAGCAGCTGTGGCAGGGACCAGTGCGAAGCCGCCCACTGCTGGAGCCACTGTGATGCCTTCTCTGAAGCATGTTCCGGAGGTTCCGAGTTGGTGATGAGAGACGATATCCTTTCGCTGACTGAAGGCCCTACCGCGACGACAATTGAGTGGGCTGCCTGTATAATCTGGCAGATGCGTTGCTCATTCCTAGCAGAGCTGCTACCAAGGTCCTCTTCATCCCCAATACACTCGAAATCAATCCAAAAGGCTTGCTTCCCGGCTGCTTGAGCGGCGTCAATCCCCCACTGGATCAGAGTCTCTCGGTCTCTTCTCGCTATCTGCCGACTGGCTTCCCGGGCTTGTTTATTGGGATAATCCTGGGATTCAATCTCAGCGTTCGGGATGACATTGAACTGTGTCCTGGCGTACGCAACGAAGACAAATTCGGTGTCTGCGTTTGCTACGACTGGAACGGTCTCGTACGTTCTCTGCTCGGCATCTTTGATGATGCAGAGATGGGTAGGCAGCGGGAGACTTTCTACATCCCTGGATCCTTGCCTTACGGCGCTCTCTGCCCCAGTGTCTATGTCGTGAAAATGAGGCGACGGAGCAGAGCCAGAGGATGGGATGTGTACCTCATCATAGCGATGGTCTGGTTCTGTGATTGGGCTTTGCGGGAGCCAGGATATGCGAAACGCTCCTAGACCATGCGTTACTCCGGAAAGCTGCATACTTCATGTCAGAAAATTGATGAATTGGTTCATTATTTGAGGGTTTTCGACGTACAAGGGCAATGGAAAGAGGGGATGAGATGATGAGCCTCAGCGCAGTCCAGCCGATTGACGATGGCGTAAGCTCGAGCTCGGAATCACCCTCTCTTCCCAGAACCGGCGAGAGAATCCAATACGACAGAAGCTGGAATGAGGGCACCTGGTTCACTGGCCGATTTAACCGTGTCCATTGTGCTGTGCCTTGTAGCTGGCCGTCTTGATCAAAACTCTGGGTGACGAGCGGCACAAGCTGACCGTCGGATGGCCGGAGATAGCGCAGATGGGCGTCTTTCTCGCTGACAGTTGTGAGATCCCGGTCGCTCGACGCTTCATGTGCTTGAGTGGACATTGCTGAACGTCTAACGCACCATCAACGGTGGAATAATGGCAACGGTTCAACGGTCTTGGGGGAGACAAGCGTCGAAGTCAAGAGGGAGTGGGATGACTTAAGAATGATGATTAATCGATGCCTAGTCGAATCAAGCGCAGTGGCTTTGCTTGTGACGCGTGTGTCTGTGCCGCTACTGCAGCTAAATCCGGTAGTATGTGAGAATCCTAGGTGGACTTCCGTCCATCAAAGCCGATCCCTGCCTGGGCTGGAAAACATTAAATGCATTAAATCAACGAGCCTGAGCTTGAGAGGCAATGAAGGTCAAGAAATTTCTGTCAATTTGTCAATTTAGGCATCTATCTAAGTGCTCTCTCAAGAAACTGAGGGCATCCCTACACTTGATGGGCCCTGTCGTGAATGTCATCCCTCCACCTTAGTTACTAGGATAAGCCGTAGGTAGTGCCTAGAGCCCACCGGGCACGTCCATGATTCCTCCATGAATCTTGTTCAAATGCTCGTAACAGGCTCTGCCACTTGTGAAACTCTCCAGGCATTTCCAGCAGATATGTGCTCCGCAACCCTGGCACGTCATGTGGTCACATCCATCTATCTTCTCCATTGACGTCTTGCACTTTGGGCAGTCCTTGATACCCAAGTCCTTCTTCAACATTTCAACTCGTGGGTCGAGTATTTGTGATTTGTGCTCGGCGCAGCTTTGGTTCTCATGCGATACGTGGCAGGATGTGCAAAGGCTGATCAGGCATTTCCCACATGTGTGAGCTGGTGGCACTTTGACTCCCTCTTTGGCCACTCTGTATACCATGCCGCAGTCGGGAGTAGGGCAGTATCGGAATTCAGCGGCGTTCTTGGCGATATAAGACGAGAAAGCGGCACCCAAGATATCCTCCAGGGTTGTGGAGGAGAGGTGTTCTCGTAGTTCACTTAGAGGAAGAACTCGTCTACAGGTATCCTCGTTGCCCACGCATCGAATTAGCATATCAGAGCTGGTGGCCGACTTCGATGAACAAAGAGCTTCAAAGCACCCGGAGCAGTACACATGGCCACACTGCGTTCGAACGGGGCATTCCGCCTCAGTCCAGCAGGCCGAACAGTCCTTATCCGTCGGTGCTGTCCTGGTCAGCTGCTTCTTCGCGCCATGGAGCAATGCCAGTACCTCTTCATAATCATCCTGGTTGCCGTGAATGATGATTCGCTTCGGGTTCGAGACTACGTCAAGTGTCACTGGCTTCGGGTCGAGGGCCGAAGACAATTCACTATGCCCCCCTTGACAAGTCCATCGGAAACCATTTGAGTCGAGAGGGATCTCGAAGCGAAATTCATTGTCGACATGCGTTAATTCCGCCAGACGCTTGGAAGCTTTCGTGCAGCTCTTGGGAGGGCCATAGACTCGAAGTTGACGCCTGAGAGTGTCGCGGCAAATGAATACACCGAAAGCCTGCTCGACAGGCTTTAGTATGCTGGAAATGTTCTTCATCTTGCCCCAGGCTTCCCTCCAAACAGCCTGCCCAATGTGTTCGACGACGCAGCCTGCTAGCATCACATCAAGTTCTTGCTTAACGGACGCTACTTGCTTAGCATCTTGCCCCTCGAGCTTGAGGCACGTAAAAGCTGTGGACGGAGGGTAAACTCTGAGAAAGACCTTTGCATCCATCCAAGCCTGTTTTTGCTCCTTAATGCGCTGCTCTACGGCCTGATAAACCCGGTTGAGCACCTTGAACTTGGCTGAAATCACTAGCTGTGCGGTGAGTCTCCCTCTAGAATAGAAAGGGAGCGCTGAATCGTGCAGTTTCGAGACAGCTGTTCGTGCATCAGCTTCGTGTGCGAACTTGGCCTGTATTTTCAATCTCTTCAAATTGGATTTGGACACAACTGGGTCTCCTTCAAGTTCACCACTGCTGGTGAGCAGCGACTGAATTTGCGAAATGGCCGTATCATCCTCCTCGTCGTAAGCAGGCTCCGAGAGCTCAATATTTCGAGGAAGAAGATTCCTCCCAATAAGGCAGAGTATCTTCTCCTTGGTGATGCGATGCGGGAGGTTGGACAAGATGACCGTATATGCCTGAAAAGAGCGCATGTTTGTTGCACTGGGCTCGGACACTGTGACTTCTCGGTCACCGAGTTTATATCTTCCTGAACGGAACCCTCGTGAAACTCTGTCCGCAATGGCCTCGTTTCCAAAATCCAGCCAAGCAGTGCAGACTGGACGGTACCAAGAGCATTGAACCCTCCGGCAGTCGATGGTGTGGGTATTTGAACTTCGCGTAATGCGTTGGGGAATGCCCACGGCTTCAATATCTCTGCCTCCTGGAATGGCAACAAATTTCATCCGCATTTCCTCGAGGGAGGTTGGCTCTGTTGTGCTAATTTCGGCTGATGAGCAGATGGAGGCGTCGTTGCCAGCCATAGGAATAACGCGGGTCTTGTTGGCCTTAATATCAACACCCGCATCGGCCAGTAGAGATGCAACAGATTCCAAAGTTGCATCTTCAGGCAGATTCCTCAAGCGAAAGGAGTAAAATTCCGTTCGAAGCGAGACCGCCGAGACTGTTGCTCCGTCTCCAAATTGCACGATCGCTCCGCCTAGCTCTCTCGCTCCGCTGTCGCCATCTTCTGGCTCCTGTAAACAGAATCATAAATCAGCATGACTCTTCTATACTCATAATATTGCATTTTGTAACATGGTGAACGGCCGGATATTTAATACGCACCTCGAAATCCTCGTCTGCGGGTTGAGAATAGTCGGGCATGGCCGCGTGAGCAAAAGAGCATGCCAGGCCTCTCTTGCAATGCCCCCATGCGAAGAACTTGCAGGGGATGCGTTGCCTGGAGTCTGAGACTGGCTCATGATCTATCCTGAGCGCCTTGAATTCTTCGTTCGGTGCCTTCCTGATTGGTTCCGGGTGGGCGTATCGGCACGCATCGCCATACTTGCACGCACCAAGGGCAAAGTAGCGACAAGGCATTTGCTGAAGCGGGGTAAATTCACGAGCCTGAGAGAAGACGGCCTCTGAAGACTGCATTTTGGAGGGTACTCAGCTGACAAGAGCTGCCAGCGAGCTGATAACGATGTTGTGAGGCAAGGCTACTTCGCGTGTTGGGTTGAATTTTGGGAGAGTGTGAGGATGGAAGGGTGAAATTCTCGATTGCCGTGAAAAATATTCATTGTCTCAGAAAAGCAAATAAGGAAGCCACAGATAAAGGTGTTTGTGTGTGTGTGGCTGCCTGAATGTGCAGCTTTTCGTCAGTGGCTGCTCAGTGCATAGGGTTGCATGTCCACCAGAATTTTTGACCAATCTCTGTGGTTGAATATTTGCTCACACGATATATATGCTACTTAGGCCTTGAGAGGTGTCTCATTTAGGAGTGAAAGCATACTTGCATTTTCACCATTTTGCCCATATCAGTGATCCGCAGTTTACAGTAATTTCCAAGATCTGAAGCTCAATTCTACGCAGATAGAAGAATCCGTCATATTAAATGAATAGAGAACGAGATAATGTGCATCATAAGAATGAGATATTTCTAGCTGTTTCTTAAATACCGGTTTGTTTTTGCCACTAGGCTTGGACGACAAACAAGTTTTTGCTATCCCTTAGATACGCTCACATTCTGGATTTGAATGATGCGTGCAGGTGTTTCCAGCATATTTAAATACTGCTGATCTTCGTACATGATTACCTATTGGTCAATCGTCTAGGCTAAGATGTTAGTCGGATTATAACCTTACCACATCAAGTCTCCCAACATCGCGATCATAGAAATGTTTGAATTTTATTTTCAAATAAAACAACGCTAGAACAGCCTGTACAAGCTTAAACACATATAAACAGGCGAATACCAATAATGCATCTAAAACCTTGAAATGTCTTTGGCGATCGAGGCAAACATCGCGATCATTCGCCTTGATTTTTTGATGCGATTGATGGGGTGGTACCTTTATGTTGGTGTTAATTTTTTTTTTCATCTGTAGCCATAGACATGATGTAGTTTATTGTGTCATTACACATTCCTCAGAATAGCCTAGTCCTTTCCAGTAATAATATTCGTAGCTCTGAGGCACATGGCGAAGGTCCTGCAGCTTCAACCACCTTTCTGTGCCACCTAAGCTGATATCTCCACTGAGTACGATCAATGCAATGGCTAGTAATTGGCTTTCGAATATTGAGAAGCAGCCTTGGTTTCTTGGAAGTATAAAAGTCATACTTTGGCCGTAGACTTAGAGAATACAACTTACGACCTTTCATACATATTTTCATCTGACCTCTACGAGTGATACTTGTAAAAGTGCCTTTACAGCTTCTCTCAGCTAATTCGCTATGAGCAATCAATTGATCAAATGAATATTATTTACAACAAATATACAACCAACCCAAAGGCCGTGTTTGAAACAAATTTCATTTTTAAGTTCCTCGTCGAGATGGTGGCCGCAGTCAACTTGACTCGCCCTCAGAATGACGGAATCCCACATCTTTCTCAGCACACAATATAGGTTTAATATATATACTTAAATTTGGGAAAAATACACCTTATGTCGCAGAAAATATATAAAGAAGAAAATAATAAAGAAAAGTAGAAGGCATGTAGTATAATAAGAGTTTGACTGTGTTCCGTATTTATTTATGATGTGCATTACCAAAGCGGTTTATTAGGGTAACACCACTGATGTTAGAGTGGTAATAGTGATTATATTCTCACTAATTAGAAAGGTAAATAGTTCACCTTAACCAAAACTAGATATATTTCATGGATAGCATGATCCCTTTGTCCCTCAAGAAAATGTGAAAGACTGTGTTTGGTGTAGGGTAGGTACATCTCCTGGAGCTCAAACGTGAAGATGAAGGCATCCCACCTCTTGCTGATGCACACACTCAGTGTATTAGCAACCTCAAATCTACTGCCCCGGACTAGATTATTAATAGAGGGGTCTTGAAGTTGGGCACATGGGAAAATGTTGACCCGAAATACTTAGCGGGCAAAGCACGTTGATAGCCTTCGTATCCGAGCCCGGTGAAAGAACATCTTACCTGGGGGACAGGCAACAGGTCCGGGCAGTAGCCAGCGCTGGAGTGACCGAACATAGCGGTGAGCTAGAAGTCCTGCTCTGCTTCCTGATCTAACCTGGCCCCTGTCCCTTCCCGTCGGCATTCCCGAGCGGGTTCGCTTAATGTGCACCGGAAGATGCACTTGGATTCTGGAAGAGTTTGTTTGGTGGCGCTGCTCCACTAGGCTTGCTCCGAGTTGGGCCAGTAGAATGATGCTGGAGACGTACAGACGCGTCCGGAAAGGTTTTCGACCTTTGGATCGAGGCCTCTGCTGATGTCCTTCCCTTTCATTGCTAGCTGAGAGCCATGCTATCTGCTAGGCACTATATTAGTTGGCAAACTTGCCACTACGTAGGTACTGTACGGACGTCTGTGCTCTTTTTGGAGACTAAGAATCATCAATCCAAAGAGGGGGGACAAATGGAAAGGGCAAGAATGAGGCTTTTCTATGAAACCTTCGGCGTAGGATCGGCCACGGGTACGACGGGCGCCAACCAAACGTAGCCGCTACCTAACGGGAGCCTAGTTTCAACAAAGCAAAGGCCATCTTTAAACATACGATCATGACTAACGTCTGCTTGCCCAAATATGCTCTTGTTGCTGTAAAAGGATGGTGTTCATCATCTTTGTGTCCTGTGTACAGGTGCTAATCATTGTCCTTGATGTATACATACATCAGCATCACATCCGTAGCGAGCGTAATAATATTACCTCAATTCCTGATACGTCATAAAAAAGCCATTTGGATGTGTTGAACCACAAAGATTGCCTGATTTGCTGGTCACTAGAGGGATATATACCAATAGTTTGGGTCCCTTTGGGCACGTGTATTGATGCTGGTATCTCATTGGCCCAGCTGTGAGTTCAATTTTCAGCAAAATCGTCCCTTTTGAATGAAAATTCTTGCACTAAACTCCATGTACATGTCAGATGTTTTGGGGAACGGCACAGGGTTCCTCCTACGATGCTTAGTAACAGGGGGTGGGTGCAGTTGTTAGGGAAGATCGAGGCAATCAATAATGGACGTTTACGAAGGATATTGAACTGTTCAGATAAGTCAGGGGCTTAAAAATATGGAGGAGGTGTTCAGTAGGCACTTGTGAAATTAGAAGTGTTCAGATTCGTTGAGAACGCGTGTGCTGTCAGACAGTGACCCAGATGGCTTAAATACTTGACCTGCCCTGTACGCCTCGTCTTATCCCTCCCTGTCCTGCCCTGCATGCGGGGCATTCATTGCGTGTCATGGAAGTAGGTCCCTGTTTAGATCAACAAGAACACGGGAGGTCGTTGACGTTACTTCGATACGCGGTGCGATGTGCTCGGCTGCCTCATGGCTTGCGGTTTTTGAGCGATGGAACATTTACGGACGAGACGTAAGCTGCGCCACCATATTCATCCCACGAGGTTTGAGCGTTGACACGAGTCTGCGAGCACAGAAGCACGAGAAACATCAACACTGATTCTCGATTTGCCGGATGAGATACTGGTCAGAATCATCAAGGCTACCATCCTGCCTCGGGGCGATTCTGGGCCGAAGCCCCTGAAGAGGAAGCAGTATGACAAGGACATGATCGCGATCCTGGCGTCTGTTTGTCAGCGGTTTGCGTGTCTGGCTGTCCCATTCAACTACCATTCAATACGATTCGAGTGGCCGACATTCGTTGCTCCCCCGAGCCGCCGAGTAAGGCTGCTTCGCGACACTCTGCTGAACAACCCGTCGCTCGGCCACTATTGCCAAGAGTTCTGGTTCTATATCTCGGATTTCACAACAAACGTCTCGCCTGCCGATTTCGACGTTCTGATAGATCTCATCGGGTTACTTCCTGATGTCAAAGTGCTTGGGATCCACGGTGGATTTTCTTTGGAGCAAGGCGAATATACCTGGGAATCGATCCGAAACTGTGTTCAGCTCATGCGAAGGCTCGAGTACCTGGTCCTGAGCAGAGAAGCCTTGGCAGGCCTCACGTTAGGACCCATAATGAGAGAACTGCAGATTCCATCCTTGCGTAGATTGAGAGTTGATGGAATATCGCAGTCCGATTCCTGGCACTCGGAGGTACGTCCCACACCCATAGACCCAGCGAACTATCGAGCTCAAGTAGTGTAGACTCTAAGAATGCTGACGTGGATGAATTGTAGACTCTCGAGGACGCCGATTTCACGGAGCTCGATTTGTCTGATTATCGGGAAACCGCCGAAGCATTGGCCTGCCTACTAAAATGGCCCAGAAGACTGACTCATTTTCGGTTGGGAAGCTACTACAACAATACAAATTATATCGACCTGCCTATGTTCCGCCCGATGCTGCTTCGGCATCGAGACACTCTTGTCAAACTCGACATAGGATACCTCGCTCCAACAGGCCGGGGAACACTCCTTGACTTGTCCGACTTCAAAGCACTTAAAGAGTTGAAGTTGTCAAGGTGGCAGATTGGCCCATCGGGAGCTCGGGGGATGCTCATTCTGGAGTTCAAGCCGGGAGAAGTAGAGCTCCTCCTAGCTCCGAATTTGGAGAAATTCACTCTCAGTTTTGCGCTCTGTGAGAAGAACATGGTGTCTTGGTCGGATTTTGGACACCAGGAGCAGTACTGGCTGCAATGTTTCATGGAAATCGCGTTAGCCAAGGGGTCATCATTGAGAGAAGTCTTGGTTCTTTTCAGTCCTCACAATGGAGGTATCACAGCAGATACATATCCTTGGGACCGAATCATATCTTTACACGACGCGTTCGAGCCAAGAGGGATAATCGTGGCACACAGCCCACCTTCACTTTCACGAGAGGAGTGGATGAAAGAAGCTCTGTGACACAAGCAGAGGCACGAGGTGATGCATGTAACTACGTGACTGAACTTGATCCCAGTCATGAACAGGGCCAATGAGTCGGGGCCCACGTTCTTCCCCAACACACCTGTAATGTAGGTGTAGGCCAGATTGGTCATTGTTAGGCGGATTAACCGCGCAGGTATTAACTCGCTATT